ATGTTGGAAGACCCAGCCACGACCCATCTTCAATGCTCTGACTGAGGGAAGGAGGTTGTTGCTCAAAATCTCACAATAAATGGCCCCATTCATCCTCTCCTTAATACAGTGCAGACGTCCTGTCCCCTTCGCAGAAAAGCACCCCCAAAGCATGATGCTACCACCCCCATGCTTCACAGTAGGGATGGTGTTCTTGGGATGCAACTCATCCTTCTTTTTCCTCCAAACACGACAAATAAATTCTTTAAAAAAATCACACTGCACAAGAATTCCTATATGCCTAGACTGTCTTTTTATGCATAAATGGCAAATAAAAATATTGAATCTTGATAGTACTTCTTCTGCTACAATTAGCCTACAGCTGCTATGCTATTACCGTGTGCCCCTGCCAACTACCTATATGACAGCTACCTACAGAAAATAGTTTTAATGTCTTTGTCAGTTTATAAATATCGCTTGGAGACACTGACAAATATATCAGCAAGTCATCAGCATAGTGCAGTACATACCTGTATGTGGTGATGAAGACCGAGCTCATATCATGCAGCTTTAGTAAAGACACTGGCCTCAAATGGCTTGTTGTTAAAAACTCTTAAGACTGAAATTTTTAAAAAATACCATTTTGTCACTCATCTGTAGCAACTGGAATTTTAAAAAATGACACTGACTGCATGAGTTCAGGTTTAGGCACAACCTTGACTTTAAAAATCAACCATGATAGTAACTCCAGGTCTGGTTCTGTTGCCCCATTACCTGGCAGACATGTTGTTTTCTGGAAGCAGAGGGATCTCCAGGACTTTGGTGCAGCCTATTATTCTCTCCTGGCAGGTGGTGGTAACCGTCTTCCCTGTCACTCGATGGGCCTGATAGAAGGAGTGAGGGCGAATGCACCGGTCGTCTGCGGTGCCAATGAACAGCAGCAGGTCGACTGGCTGCTCGCTGTATCCGTTCAGCTGCAGACAGAAATTCAACAGTACACATGTGATGAGCAGCTGCTCATCCTGCCAAACAGTCAGCACACAGGCTTGCTGAAAGCTGGAGCATGATGCGCATTCACACTCCGGAAAAACATTCGTAAAGGGTGTCACAGTTAAAACATCAAATGTTAAACTGTGTATCTTAGGAAGAATCAGTGTATTTTGACTAAACCTGGAGTAATGCTAATAGCAGCATACTGGTGTTTTCATACACTGACTGGTCTGACTGGGGAAGATCATTAAGCTTAAAAAAGAACAGCTCAACATTTTGCCATTAAGCTCACTTGCTTTCTTGCTGAGTGTTACCACAAGGTAAGAAGTTCAAAGCTACATTGACCAACATTTATGTATTAAGCTCTTCAATAATACATGCATATTTGTTTAATTCTGACACACACACACACACACACAAAAAAAAAAAAAAATCAGAATCAGCTTAATAGGCCAGGTGTTTTGGACACACGAGGAATTTGACTCTGGTGCAGCGACTCTCAATGTGGATGTACGATGCTCTTCTTCCATAAGACAATGAGTAAACAAGGAAACAAGATAAGACAGAGAACAAAAATGAAACGTGCATTAGAAAAATAAAAAAGTTCTTATAAATATAATTTATATATCTATATATAATATTTATAAGTACTTTATATTATGTATTATATTCATAAGTACCTATATATATATATATATATACACACACACACACACACACACACACACACACACACACACACACACACACATATATATATATACAGTTGGCGACATGGTGGAGACTTGCCTCATGGCAAAAAGGTTCTGGGTTCGAGCCCGGGCCAACCTGGGGCCTTTCTGTGTGGAGTCTGCATGTTATCCCTGCGTGGGTTCTCTCTGGGTACTCCGGCTTCCTCCCACAGTCCAAAGACAGGTATATGATATACAAGCAGACCTCTCTGTTTTTGGAAAAGGTCACCATCATCTCTTTAGTCTTGCTCATATTCAGTTCCAGGCAAGACGTACCACACCAGACCACAAACTCATAAAAAGCTGAGCTGTGGTGATGTGAGGGACCTGAGAGCAGAGACTAGGGCGGTGTCCTCAACAAATTTGACCAGATGGCAGTTTGGCTGGGTGGACCTGCAGTCATTGGTGCTCAGGATAAAAAGCAGGGGAGAAAGAACACAGCCCAGTGGGGAGCCAAAGGAGGTGTGTATTAGGTCAGAGAAGGTGCTGTTGACCAGCACGCCCTGTGGCCTATTAGTTAAAAAGTCAGTTATCCACAGGATGAGTCAGTCGTCCAGATGCAACTGGGTGATAAATTTCTCAGCAAGAACATGTGGCTGCAGGCTGTTAAGTGCAGAGGAGAAATCTGCAAACAAGAGTCTGGCTGTTGTGTTGGGGATCTCCAGGCACCTGCGGACAGTGCCTATAATGAACAGTTTTGCATCATCAGCCACTCCGCCTGCTCGATATGTGACCTGAAGCGAGTCCAGCTGAGGATCTGCTGCCTTGATGATATGATTTTTATTAACCTTCTCCATAGCCTTCATCACCAGACGTGAGAATCCCATACCTGAGGTCATTCAGGACCCTGACAATACCAGACTGAGGATAACAGCGGTTTGTTTCCGTATCCAAGGGCCTGGATACGAAGCTGGGGCACGTCCACTAGCTGCTCCGCACGGTGCCTCAGTGTACAGCCACAGCTGTTGTCTGGCTGGGGTGGTGTGTTGGCTTTGGTCTTCTTAAATGCTCTCACCACATCCTTTATATCTATGGTGAGGGCCGAGTTTCCAGGTTTCTATGGTGAAGGCCGAGTTTCCAGGTTTCAGTGAGTAGATTTAGCTGGATGTTGTCTGTCTCAAATCTGGTGCAGATGGAGTTGAGGTCATTTGTATGTGATACTGGGCTACTGCCTGCAACCTGAATATGCTTGTGAGTGGTGGAGGTGGTGTTCGCAGCTACCATGTTCTTTAGACTCTGCAAAGCTAAGCGGAAATTCCCGCTCTTAAATGTTTGCTCAACCTAGTTCTGTATTTAAGTTTGTCAGTTTACAAGAAAATCATTGATTCATGTGCGGTTGATCCCCCAGTCAAACATCACTATTTGACAGCACCAAATGATCAGCAGACAGTGTTCAGGGTTCATTTAGAGTTTGACCAAGCCTTGACATCAGAATAACACATATAGGTTGCCCATAATTTGTGTAAATACTCAGTAACTCATGAGCCAACCACAGGATGCCACAGGGCTTCCTCCATCATGACATTTTTTCGACATAATGTCTAGCACTTCAGTGTTCATGTTTACCCCACAAGTTCCTTGTTTTCCAAATAAAGGACCTGTGACCATGCCACCACTTTCCCAGCATGTGCCTCTGACACTAGAAGCCTCATACTCAGAAGAAACCTGACCAGAAATAAGTCAAAATGAAAACTTAAGTTACAAGATCACAAAATCCCACCTTGTGTGGGAATAAAGCACAAGTAAGTGTGAGGTGAAAAACCACAGTGAAGTCAAACTGAGTGTGCTACAAAGGATTTACCTTTATGATAGGGTGCCCATCAGCAGCTGCCTTAATGGACCCTCGGCTGCCCTCCGTCTCATAGTGCGCCCTGTGGTAGGACTTGGGCTGGACCTCCAGCTTCAGTTCACACTGGTGGAAGCGGCTGGGCAGAGGCCAGTCCAGAAGAGGGGGGGACGAGGTCCTGGTCACAGAGACAATAGGAACATAATGATCAGATTCTGCATGACAGCAATCAGTGCTCCTTAAAACAGTGGATAACAACAGGGAGTTCAGTAAGTCTTATTGCTGTTACACGATGTTTAAGAACAACAGTTCTTATACTACCACTCCAAAATAAGCCAGTAATGCACTTTCTCTCATTTGGTCTGTAGGTTTAGCTGATGTTTACATATACGTGAACCTATTTATAGCAGATGTGACATGATTATGTTTGACAGCCCCAGATTTTGTGTTACTGTGCAGCTCAGCAGGTAATGTCATATTTGCCTTATGTCCGATGACACTTCCTTGCAGTCATCACAGAGAGGATGAAATGTAACATGTCCAACATATCAAATCTAGAAATGTAAACAGCCTGTGAGAGCAAAGCAGTGGTTTGTAGCCCTGAAGTGTTAGTGTCAAAATGCACTGAACAGAAGGATGGCACACTGCTTGAACACGTCTGTTTTCTTTAAGACAACCTCAAAAGGAAGTTCAAGTGAGTTTCAGTTTAAAGGAACAAGAGATGGAACAAATAAAGACAAGAATTTGTGCAAGTGTTAGTAAGTGTAACCAGCTAAACAAATATAAGAAATTTCTCCTGTATTATGTCAGCATATTTAAAAGTTATAATAGCCCAAGTGAAATGATACTAACCCAAACAGAGGAGGGTTTCCAGGTTTAGGTTTGTTCCAACTGAAGTGGGAGGGCACCTGAAGGAACAGTTCAGCCAGGCCATCCTTTTCATGTGCCTCTTCTCTGGGAGGATCCAGGAGGGGCTCCAGTCCCAGGTCCCCCTGACCGGTCATGAGCCCCAGCTGGATCCCCGACGTCCTCCTAGTCTTGGATGGGACGTCCAGCTCTTGGCAGCCAGACATCAGGAGAGGCCCGAGAGCACTGGCGGGGCTTCCCACCCAGGTGTCATCTGTCACACTGCCCCTCGGGGAGGCACCCCGTGTAGGGCTGGGTGAGTGGTGAGGGGAGGATGAGCGGGCACAAGGGTCAGCGCCGGAATGTCGTCTCTTCCCACAAGGAGAGGTCGGTCTGGATGATGGCCTGCAGAAAAGCACAGTGTGAGCGGGATTTCTAATTTTTAAATAGTTTTTTTTTTACCCTTTAACAGTGCAGTGCAGACAGGCGAGGGAGACCGAAGGGGGAGACGTGCAAATAACACCCCATGAGGAGGACGTTTAACAGTGCTAAGCACCCAAGGACAGTAACCACTGCCTAATTAACAAGGGTGCCCACACTGTGCCAGCTGTATGTCAAGTATGAAAAAGAACATAAGCCACTGAAAACACACTTCTGCAATCTGCACACATCTGCTTGTTTAATCATTTATTTTTAAAATTTTTCTTTTTTC